TACCAAATTCGGTGATTGTACACAAAGTGTTGATATTTTTGTTTTAATCCTAACTAAACTATGAAAGTTATAAGAGATTGGTTTTAATAAAATACGAGATGAATGTATTGGATTTAAGAATTTACCATGTCTAATTTCAATTCTCGACTTATGTAAGTTAACATTATTAATGTGTTCATGACAATCAATAATCTGTTAATATATATCTAATATTTTCTTTCAAAATATATTAAATCTATGCTTAACACGATCCAACCCGACCCGACTCGATCACATTCCTAGTCCAAATTCAGATGCAAAGCACGCATTCAATCATAGGATTATCACATATGATTGCACACGTCATAAACATTATTCCTAATACCTATTGTCCGTGTGTTAAATATGTAATGTTCTACATTTAAAATCCATTGAAGGAGTGGAGGGTCAAAGTTTTGGTTGCAATACAAATCAATAAGAAGAGTTGAGCAAGCTACAAGAGTATAATGTGCAAAAACCCTTGTGTTTGACTGTAAAGGGCTCATGTCATTGGGAATACATATGTTATCGAATTCCCAATACCAACCATCGTTCCAAGCTACGCAATAATCATCGCATCTCATATTGCAATCGTTTCAAGATTCTTCACCGTGGGGTCAAAAGTTAAATTATAAACTTTTTTATTGAACACTCGTTTCACCGATATTTTGCTTCTCACTCAAAAGTGAAGCTTTTCACTTAAACTATTTACCACTTCTAAAAGCAGTTGGATCGACAAAAACGACAGTGATTCAAACCGTGGGGTCTCCAGGCGTTTGAAGTTTAGGCGTAGAAAATTGAATTATTTGATAAAAATGGTGATTCAGACCAAAGAAAAAAAAATTATATTCTCCTGCGATTGGTCCCCGGAATAATATTGTTTTCTAGGGATATGGTAAAGAAAGGCAGGCAAAAAATATTGTAAACTTTAACATGGAATCTCGTGCTATACCAGGCTTTACAACGATTCTTATCGCAGTTTACTGGTAATGCAAGTTAAATATAATATTTCTCAAAAATTGGCAGGATAAATAATTCTTTTTTATTTATGGGGGACTAAACCAAACATAAATTAAGCTCCCAAAATGAATTAGTATTTCATAATACACAGAACTCGAGTCCCAGATGATAAGACGCATGATAGAGTAAATATTGAAATTATATGATATGTAGTCTACATTAACATTATCTAACACTATGTTTTTAGTTCTTTTATGGTGAATATTGGATATAACACTTAATTCATTTAGAATTAATGAATTTATTTTAATGTCAAGTTAAGTTAATCGTTATCAATGAATTTAGGACAAAAGGGTAATATTATTGAAATACTTCAAATATAATAGGGGTACAATCGTTCACCAAATGATTCTCAATCATGTGACTTTTAATAGATTATATATTATAATGTATTCGTGCTAAGGGCATTATTGACGAAAGGAAAAAATAAAATTACGAGGATTAAATTACCAAGTAAAAGTTTCTTCAACATCCACACTTGTAGATATTGTAGATAGATATGAGCTTTATCCTTTAAGCCATCAACTCTTTTAATTTTCTCTTTTATTTGTTGTTTAATAAAATAAAGTTGGTTAGCGATAAGTATATTTTATACACTTATTCATAGGCCTAAAATATCGACATTTGGTAGTCCCTTTGACAAAATATATTCTAAATTGTTGTATTTTATGTTATATAGGTAAAACTCAATGGTTGAATTGTTGAAAGAGGAATTGAAAGAAAGAAGCGAAAATTGGTGAAAATTGGCAAAATTCAAAATTTGAGGACCAAATTGAAAATATAAAATAGTTGATTCAAACCACAAGATTGCTATGAGATAATTGGATGGAATTAGAACTCAAAAAAGAATGAAATATGATCAAAATATTATCAAAATCAATTTTCAATCGTACAAGTTATATTCAAGTTTTTTAACCGAATATTGAGATCCATTTTTTGGCAGAGTAAACGTCTGAATTAGAAAAAATTATATTTCTAGAAATATTGTAACCCTTTTAATTATATTTTAAATTCACTTTGAATCGCATCAATCGGATATCGGGAGAGAAAGTTATGGCCAAAATACTAATTGCTATGCAGAGACAAAAAATTCCGTGCACAAAGACAATTTTCCTAATTAGATTAGAACTCTTTTGAAAACTAATTTGGACGTGATTTTCAATAATTTTCTACTCCTTCAAATACCAAACAGCAGAACACATATTGGGGGACCTCTCATATACATATTATATTTAACATTCATCAATTATTATCATCAAATGAGGAAAATTCATAATTTTTTTTGAGAGAATTGAATGATATTTGAAAAAATTCAATCAAGTGAAGATTCAAACTTAATTTTTGGGTAAAGAAGAGAATGCGCAGTGGACATTCATCGAGAAACCATTGAAGATATTCAAAATTTCAAGATTCATCTTTATTTTCTCAATTTATCAAAAATTCGGGTTATGTCTTTTCACTTAAATATGATTTCTTGCAATTTTGATATGTCATGCTAATTTTATACATTGTTAGGATGAGATGAAGATATTCAAAATTTCAAGATTCATCTTTATTTTCTCAATTTATCAAAAATTCGGGTTATATCTTTTCACTTAAGTATGATTTCTTGTAATTTTGATCCGTTAGGCTAGTTTTATACATTACTAAGATGAGCTCTACCCATGTTTTGAAATTTTTAATATTAATTAATT